TCACTTCTACCTTGTGATCTAATGTATCATCTCTACTATTTTGTAATTTTACATGCCAAATTCCTTGTAATCAATGTGTCTCAATTTTTGTACGTTTTTCTTCAATTTTTGACATGTTGAGAAAGAAAACTATATTGGAAATTTAGGATCAATATATCATCACAGGGTATTAGTTAACCAGAAATTCTATGAAGCCATCAAATGGCTCCTTTATGGAGTCATCCATAACTTAATGTGCTGACACATATCCAATGTGTATTTATTATAGAACACGTGTCAATACATCATTTGTAAATAACTGTGGATGGCACCATAGGTTGAACCATCCGATAGCTCCATAGCAAAACCGTTTATTTGACTCATCAACTTCCATCTTTTCAAAGTTCATCAACAAATGTACCAAACCAGTAAGAAAAAACTGAACACCAATCAAGAAAAAATCTCCAAAAAACAAAATCCTCCAATCACCTTGTAATATGCATTTGACATTAACATACACCATTTTTCCTCTCTGTTCTTTTAAAAACCAATGCCAAAACTATCAGAAAGTAAATCACATTTTTTCTTCACAGTTCCATCATCTTCCTCCTTTTCTCAAACGAGAAATCATCAAATGTTCATGCCTCTACAACAACAACATAGCCTTTTAGTCTCAAACAGGTTGGGGTAGGCACGTTCATGCCTCTGGCCGAACAAAAATTCCCCTTCAGCAAACATAATCAGATGGATAATAACAAAAATAATAATCATCATCATCATCATCAACGCCATCGATTTCCTTCAACTCCTCAATCCTCTCGACGGCCTCTCTCAAGTCCCACCTTTTCTCCACATCCCACTCACAACAACACATACCAATCTTCAAAAGCTTCACCATTTGACCTTCACTATTACTCCTTCCCAAATTACCCATCATGCCCCTATCGAATACCTCGCCCGACCAATCTTCCCTCAAAACCGAGTCGACCCATGTGGCAAGATCGGAGCTGGGCCCACGGCCCCGTTTCAAGTAGTTTGCTGGAAAACGGCCCGTGAGGAGCTCGAGTATTAGTATCCCTAGACTCCATACATCGGTCTTTCTGGTGACTAGGTCGAGCTGCATCGACTCAGGTGATTTGTGGGCCACCATGAAGTGGTGCGCGTGGTCCTTATTGATGAGTGGTGCGAGCGAGTAGTCGGATAGGAGAGGTTCGTATGTGGGATCGAGAAGGATGTTTGACGACTTGAGATGGCCGTGGGGTAGTGTGAGATGGGGGAGCTCATTGTAGAGGTAGCTTAGGCCTCGTGCAATGCCCTTGATGATTTTCAGGCGTGTGGGCCAGTCGAGGCCCGGTTGGTTGGGCGTTCTTTTGCCTGTTGAACATAATTGGCAGTGATTAATTAAATTAAGATCAGATATGCACACAACATTGCAAATCAAATTCAAGCCTTTATATACACACAAAATTCTCAGAAACTTACCATGGAGGTGACTGGCCAAGCTCCCATTCTCCACGAAATCAGCAATCAGGAGCTTATCCTCCTTCCTGTAATAAAACCCCACGACCGGCACCAGATTCCGGTGCGACAGCCGCCCGAGCCGCCTCATGTGCCCGTAAAACTCATCCTTCCCGGCGTTTCCCATCTGCCTGAACCTCCGCACGACGTAGCTCCGGCCGCCGCTAAGCGTCGCCTTGTACGACGAGCCGAAGCTCCCGCTTCCCAGAATCTCGGCCGGCGCCTTCAGAAGCTCGTCCAGGGAGAACCTCTCCCTGTCGCCCCGCACGAAGTACAGCTTGCCGTACTCGCCGGATTTCCGGCCGGCGGATGCAACGCCGCCGCCGTTTCTGCGAGCGCTTTCTAGGGATTTTTGGTATTTTAGGGGTTTTGAGCGCTTTCGCCGGAGGAAGAGAATCGCTAGGAGCAGAAACGCGACTATTGCGACGGCGGCTGTGGTACACGCGATTTTGTTCTTGTTTGAGCCGTTTTCTTTGCATGGGCCCAAGGGCTTGCCACAAAGTTTGATGTTACCTAATTAATGATCAAAAAATGAATTATAAATTATTTTTTGATTAGACTATTTTTTTCATATAAATTATCAAGGGAGAAAGAATATAGAATTTAGCCTTGGCTCTCAAATGTTTGACCTGCATTTGGTGGAACATCGTGCACACCAGTCACTCATCTAAAGTAATGCAGCAACAAAAACCTCACCTAAAAATGAACTTGCATTCTGATTCTCAAGTCCAACTGGTATGCCTCCCTCGAGCCGATTATTCGAAAAGTTCACGACCAACCCTGCCTGCCTGAAATCCGGTACCCGACCCACGAACCCGTTTTCCTGAAGCTGCAAATC